CTGCTGCTACTGCTGCTGCTACTACCCCACCGGCAGCGCCACCACCACGACTGCGACCACCACAACCATCAGCACGGCGACGACTACCGCTGCCCATCGGAAGTGACATTTTGCCCGTGACCATGTCAGTCTTGCTGTACACAAGCAGTATGCAAGAAGTACTAAAACTGCAGAAAATCGACACGAGGAATGCCAACAGCAAGAGTGGAAGGAACACTCATGCTCGGATGGAAGCTGCCACACGCTCGAGCACATGACCCCCAAGTCTATGCCCGGCCTGGGGCGCACGTTCTTGACCACGACGGCGAGGCCCAGCGCTATTGCCTCGGCAGTCGCCAGGGGGCACATCAAAGGTCGAAAGGTCGAAGAATATGCGGAGCTTTCGGACGAGATTTCTTTACATGGCAGCAGGCCAGGCAGGAGACCGGCGGAAAAAGGCATGGCATGTGCTTGCGGCTGGGAGTTTTGTGATGTATGTTTTCTGTACAAAGCTACCAGGCTAGAGAAAGAGATATGTCCATTTGCCCTGTCTGGGCCTGGTAAAGGAACTATTCAAGCTCCTTGTACCATTGTCTTGCACCGGGAGTGGAGCAGATAACCACAAGCCTGTATGACGTTAGCTTTACAAATATTCACAACACAATGTGACGGGGCTTCTTGTTGGTAGCGACAACACCTGCATTTCTGGCAGTGCGATAAATACTCGAGCAGTCTTAGTAACGCTTAACTTGCCTTGCTAGTCTCAAAGGTCTTGCCGGTAGTATGCGTGCTCGTGCCACTAGACTTATATTGCAACTGCTTCCGCGTGTCACCCATGTCCCGGTCTCGCTTTTTAACTTGTACGCATGCACATGAATTCTCCTTTCACGGGGAGCGTCCTGACGCGATCGCGATCGCGCCGCAGCCCGTGCGATTGCGCCGTGAAAACACGACCGAGTAAGTTGCATCTGTACAATGTGTCATGCAGATTGGCTTGCATGTTTTGATTCATCTTTGACATTTTACAATCATCTTACACCATAGGTTAATCCGTTTCATCTACCTCCTCTACCTCTCTACGTTTGTAGGCGAGACAAAGATCGGCCTGTATTTACCGGCTCCCATCCGTTGCTCAAGGCAAGCACCGGAGCTTGTGTAAGAGCACGTGGGAATTGGAGACACCGGAAGCTGAGCAAATTCGATGATGCATTCAAAGCTGCACCTTCAACGCTTCGGGATGATAAACATCAGAACTGAACCGGATTTCTGCACCCGAACAAGAAGGCCGAGAAGGCCTAGCAGAGGCCCCAACTGCGGCGGTGATGCCCATGTACACCATGGGCCAACAGCCTGCACACGTCCGTGGGTTGAAGTGAAGAACTCTGCCTGTTTCTATCGAGCTGGGGATTTGCCGAAACAATGGTTGTGCAATGGATTGCATGGGCAAAGCGCTGCAAAGCGTCAGCCGCCCGAATGTCCGTGCTGACGTGCTGCAGCGAGCTCAGGCCGTTGCAAACTAAACTTGCCTATCCCAGGTTTAATACACATGTCTGATCGGACTGAAAGCAGCATCCAACACGTGAGACGCACAGCACGTCACATACCCTCAGCCCCCCACTCCTCAAACCAATTGACACGGCAAGTAGTTGCAGCTGTGGCACGAGCGGTGCACACCTCTTCCTGGCATTCTTGTTTGCCTCGCCTCAGACGGAGCTGATGGTAGCTCATGAAAGGAGTCGCGAGAATGCAAAAAATGCGAGGTCACCAGGACCAAACGCTTGTTTGAGCGGGATAGAAGCACTCTCCAGGTCGTGGCAGGCTGAGGTACAGGCACTAACAAGGCACGCGCATTGCCAGAAAGCGCTGTGTCTGAAACTGGGGCTGGAGGTGTCCTGCCAGTGTGCTCCACCAACAGGCAGTTTCGCAACCACGACGACATTCTGCATCCAAGTTGCGAAGGTATCGCCCCGCTCTTCCACTGTGGAGTAGGAAGCCTTATGCTTCTGAAGACTGTGCAGCTTCAAAACTGATCACACAACGATTCAAACGCACCAACGTTGCAGTATCCTGGAAACCGCTGCTTGTCACAAGACCCTTCTCTGTGTCATCACAGTCAGTGGCAGCATCATGATCGTCATGACTATCTGCGGCAACAGCAGAAACAACATCATGCCACTGCTCGTGCTTCTGATGCTACTGCTGGTTGCTGCTGGCTGCTTGCTGCTAACGGGCTTACTGCTACTATGGCTGCGACTGCGACTCCTGCGACTAGTGACTACTGCGACTGATGCCACGACGGCGACAACGACGACTAGACGACGACGACGACGACGACGACGACGACGACTACTACTACTGCTACTGCTACTGCTACTGCTACTGCTACTGCTACTACTACTACGACTACTTCTTCTTCTGCTGCTACTACTACTACTCCTACCACTACCACTACCACCAGCACTGCGACTACGACCACTGCTGCTGCTGCTGCTGCTGCTACTACTACTACTACTACTACCACCACTACCACCACTACGACTACCACTACCACTACTACTCTACTACTGCTGCTGCTGCTGCTACTACTACTACTACAGTACTACTAGTACTACTACTACTACTACTACTACTACTACTACTACTACTCTGCTACCGTGCAACCACTGCTTCCACCGCCACCACCTCCACCTACTACTGCTGCTGGTGCTACTATTCATACTAATGATATAAACATTAAAATTCAATTTTTATTCAAAAATGATGATAATTACTACGGCTACTACGACTACGACGACCACTCGCTACCACTGCCACTGCCACCACCACTACAGTACCAATGCCACTGTCACTTCCACTAAACTGACTACAACTACCAATATTACGAATGGTACAAGTACTAGTACCTCCAACACCACCTTCTGCATTCTGCACTTTATTAACTCCACTCCACTAATGCAAGCGTGCATGAATGTATACCGTACACACGCACACTTGTAAAAGCAGCTTTCCACGACTGCATTAAAGTGTTCACATCGGACTCTGGTGTACGGACATTCCTGAAAGACAGAGATCTGCAGCACCTGCCCAACCGCAGGACAACCTTCCCGTTTTTCTGTGTGGCGCACATGAACTGATTCTGGGTTCCTGTGCAGTTTATAGGGCTGGAGCGGCTGGCCGGTCAAGGCGCCGTTTCGATGTCTAAGAGGCCTGTCATGTCAGCATCAGACTCGGACTGTTTGCGGGGTAACTGTCAACTTGTCAAAATGGCCACGCCGCTCCAGCACATCCGAGCAATGCGGAAGCGGATCCTTGCACTAAACGCGTCCTTCTTAGACATGATGTTAGCCACATTTGGAACATTGCATCTGATGACTAGGTAAGTTCTGATTCAGCAAACCTTAAGGATCCGTCCAGGATGCCCTAGGCTGGGCCAGAACACACTCGTGTGAAGACGACCGCAATAAGTCGAGGCTCCGCAGCAACCTTGAAGGACTGCACTGTGTTCGCCTCATCGGCGCTTCTTCTTGCTGCCCGGCTTGGAAAAAGCCCAGCTAACGTCTAGCTTGTGGTCCAAGAGCGTGTTGCCATCCATGGCCTTGATGGCTGCATCTGCTTCTTGCTTGTTCTCGTATTCAATGAAGGCGTAGCCCTTGACGAAGCCGGTGCGGCGATCCAGGTTGAGGTGCAAGTTCTTAATGTCTCCGTACTCCGAAAAGGCCTCGAATATGTCGTCTTCCTGTGCCTCCTCGTGGACGCCAGACACAATTACGACCCAGCCCTCGATGGATCGCGCGGCCCCTGTCTCGTCATCGTCATCGTCTAGCCTCTCGAACTTTCCGGCCTTGCCCGCATAACGATCGTCCTCCTCACCGCCGCGGCCCTTCATGCGTCGCCCGGCAGGGCGTGCACCCTCCTCGGCAACCTCGTCATCGTAGTCCACGTCCATTGTGAGGATCGCAAAAAAGCTAGAAGCAGTGCTGTCCGGCTTGGGCCCAGAGGTGCAAGGCTTGGATTCGCAGGTTTCGGAAGCTACTCATCTACTTGACTGCCACAGTCGGAGACTCGCAACAGCCTGAAAGCCTCCCGAGAAAGTACAAGCTGAGCTCATGCAAGTTACGGCTTTCTTGCGATGAACTCAGAAGACATGGTGAGCACCTCGCAACTTTGGTCCCGACACCCTGTTGATGCCCGAGCCCCTGGCACCCCACATGCCACGTGCACTATGGCCTTCCCTGTGAGCACCTGCTGGGGCCAGAAGACGTGCTGCGGCTTGGTGATTGCTACAACATTCTTTTACAGAGAATAGCTGCAAGGCGATAAGACCATCTGCGGCTCATGGGCACTCTGCACCAGTGCCAGGGAAAGAGCGGCAAATCGCTGCAACCACCGGAATGACCGTGTTCTTCAAGATGGTTTCTTTTACTTGCTTGTGATGACCGCTAACTGAAGCCTTTAATTGCCTGAGACGGATCACTGGCGTAAGATGTGAAAAGGCGGTGTCGGCTGCTGACCGGTGAGAACTGCCTATTCTGCTCTGATTTCACATCTCGGAGTTGTGCAGAGTCGGTGCCTTGATCATGGTGGGAACATTGGGATAGGCGCCCTGCTCGGTGTGGCCGTACGTCCTTGCCGGAATGTCTTGAAGATACGTATTTACCCTCATTCTCTCACACCCTGCACTACTCGCCAGCGTCTGGTTGAGGTCGACCTGAAGAAGACTTGGAACTCACAACTCTGATTCAGATGACTTCGGACATCCCACACATCCTGGCACTCCCCCACGCCCAAACGTCTCCGGTCTCCGTGACCACTGCACAGTGGCTGTGGCCACCTTGGTGACTGGCATAATCCAGGTGCGAATCCAGCAAGAAACAATCAGTTGCCTCAGGCTGCGAAGCCTTCTTTCCGAAGCCTTTGCTCTGGGCCACTCCGTTCCGTGTCCAGGATCAAATGGAACACTAATCACCTATGACAGTCACCTTGTCTCTGAGTTACTCAGATAGAGGAAGCAGCTGGAGAACCAAATCAAGTCCAGGAAGCAGGAGATCTGCGCGACGGCCACGTGGGACAAGGCAGCCACGGGACGAGGCAGCATCTCCTTTGCTGTGGTGGGTTGGCGCTTGGACACGAATTCGCTTTGTTCGACACCTCGAAGGTGTGGAACTCCGCTTTGGCTGAAGCTTTGTACACTTAGCCGTTCAGGCGAGTTTAACAACCCTTCACACGTCTATCGCGACGGGTGAGAAAAGCCAGTGCCGTACAACAACCATCATGGTCCATCGTCAAAGCTTTCATCCTTTGTCGCAGTAGCGCGCACCACCACGGCTACCACTTCTGCTCTTCTTCCTCATCCTCCTCCTACTGATGCTGTTTGTGCGTGCTTCGACTCTCTCTCCAAAGCTTACTGGGCCGGAGTTGCAAATTGCGCTGTTAGTGCATTTGCTGAGCCCTGCGCTTCGTTTGACATGGAGGAATTCGAAACAGCTAGGCTGGACTCGTGATGCTTGCCCGAACTGACAGACCCGCCCCACCGCCCCCCAATCCCCCCGACAAAAACAACAACACATACGACTCTCCCAAATTCTCCGAGGGCGCCTCGTCTGGGCCGATGAAACACCCTTTGCGCCTTCGGACTCTGTACTGCTCCGAGTAGCATCAACCTCGGCTCCCTGTGAAGCATGTCCAAGGCGACCAGCCTCGAGAAGGGTAAAAGGCGGAAGCATTTCTGCAGCAAGAGGCCAAATTGAGCTATGTGTTTGGCTTCAGCACTGTTGGCAGGCACATCCGGTTACACTAACGCCACAGCCACATCACCGCTCAGACTCCAAGAGCTTCTTGTGCATTTGCTGCTAGCTGCACGGTGCCTATGATATCCAGATACAAACGGGAACCACGTTTTTCACACACTACCCTGAACTCTTGCATTGTCGAGTTAGTGCTCAGTAGAACCCTCCACCCTCCAGCCCTCCAGCCCTGCAGCTCTCCAAAACCACGCACCGCCACAGTGCCTTATATGGCCCTGTGGCTGAGAATGAGAAGTGCCGACCCCGACACAGAACAGAACTTGATGATGCATCAGTGCAATCAATATCGATATTACAGCTCCGAACAAGAATGACAATGAATGGGTGGGTCGCTGCCTGGCCCCAAGTGAAGACTTCACCTCGTTGGGTCAAGGCAGCTGAATGATGAGGTCCTCAGTTGTCAGCATCTTCGGATCGTCCAGGCTCACGGTCCGGGGATGAGGGAAGAAGAAGCGAATTCTGTACATGTCGATTCTGCTTCTGATGCTGGGGCTTTACGGTTTGGACTCCGGAACACCTCATGTCTGAGCGCCCCGTGGAAGGCAAGCTTCGGTCATTGTGAACATACTTGCCGTGATTATATTAGGCAGACTTGTACAGGCACAACTTCCAAAAGGCCGAGCACAATCCACCCTCCCCGCTCCCCGACCGGGTTCTGCAACAAAATCCAGCATGCCAATCAAACTGGCCTAACCTCAAGCCGAGCACCTAGTGCGACTTGTACCACGCGCTTGCCTCAAAGCCAGTCAAGGCTCGTCACTAGGATCTACGTCCTTGATCTTCAACAGGGATGCGACTAGAAAATACTAGAAACAGTGCATGGGGGACACCTTGGTAAATCGCAGTTCTCGGACCACGGATGAACGACGCCATGTACTGTATCCCCCACCCGGCCTTGCAGCGCGATGACCACCTGACAAAATCCAGCTCATGTCGCCCAACTCATAACGGCCGGGTTTCGAGTGTGCTCATCAGTACCTTTTGAGGCCTTGCTAAAACGCAAGGGTATTGGCGTAGACAACCCAGGATAATTCTCTCTTTATCAACACAATCTGCAAGGCGCCAAAACGTGCATGTTGTTGGAGTCGGTCTTGACAGTCTATAGCGGTTATAGTGTCGCATTCGGCTCTCGTCTAAACCCTCAACACATCTCAACACAATAAGATCCCAAGACTGTAGCCAGCAAGAAACGAGCACAGGATCTGCAAACGGCACAAACGCGGAAGATTGCGGCGAGATCGGCGAGCAATGCTTAGAAAAGCCGGCAAACATGCCACTGAACTTACTGTTGCCTCCACGCTGATAGTTCTTAATGTGGCCCGTGCCACCTCGCTCATCATAGCAGTACTTAAGATTTAAAGAAAGAGAGGCAACTCAACGAAGAGTACGCGATCACCTTGAGGAAACTGCCTGGTGCCTGGTGCACAGTGGCTTCCATGAGAACTGTGCTGCAAGTTCTGGCTGGCAGCGTTTACATGCATGGACAGGACGGCTGCCCACCGCCTCACGCATCCGCGCTTCCGCCGCTGCAATTACTTCGCAACGCAGCAGGAGTTGGAGTTGGGAATGGGAGGAGACCACCATCACCGGCACTACGGCACAGTATACTTCGTAATTCGGTATTCTTGTTGCCATTGGTAATAGCTCGGACCCCCAGGCACAACATTATTAGACTATTACCCCTGGCAGCGGCGTCATGTAGTCTATCGTTGTATGGTAACCAACTAACATCTCTAATGTGAATGCACCTTGGGGGTGGTTTGGGCGAGGCGATTCCCATGGCCCAGCTTGCCGAAAGCTCCTGCCACAGGCACGCAGTGTTTGGTCATCGAGGTCAACCCACTGTAGGACTGGATGCGTTCAGGAGACTATTCGTTTCTCGGTTCCTGCTCAGGCTCGAAGTGTGGAGCCTCGGTGTTGATGAATGCGGAACCGCAGTGCAGGCACGGGGTCCTCCTCCCCAGGTCATCACCTGCGAAGACGGACTGACGCATCTGTTGTTTTGCTAGCGGCAGTTTGATTTTTGATGTTGGCAGTCCTGCCAGCAGCAGGACGGTAGATTTTGGAGCTAAGTGAGGCTGTGACATCAATATGGTTTAAGCGCGATGTGGTGCGATTGGGCGGGTCCGTATCCTTACGAAGTTTGGCTCGCGGTTTAGATTGCAACGGCAGCGGCGGCCCAAATCTTGCACCTGTGCATCTGTAGCACTTCCAATGTCAGCACCGAGATTCAGCAGAAGTAAGACTCAAGTCAGTTGCAACAGCCCAGCACGCCTGGCACTGCTCGCCCACTGCTGCTGTATGGTGGCCGCCGCAAGCCAGAGAAAAGATCTTTGCAAGGATCGGCAAAGAAACTCAAATTAAGTTCCGTGGGAAACTTAGTACGCACTCAAGGTCACAGCCCCGTGCAGCACTGTCTTCCAGAGCATCCTCTTCCGACCATGCGGAGCCCTCCCTCTGGATGACAGGAACGGAATTGGCTGGCTGTTGGCTGTTGCGGAGGATCAGGGCCAAGCTGTTTCTCTCACTGCAGCATTTGCTGGAAACCCTAGGCGGACCCAAACAAACGCAAAAAGGTCTTTCTGTGCCAACCTGCATCCCGGTAAAGGCTTCCACGAAGGTTGGCGAATACCTTCGAGACATGTGTTGTCTCCTTCTATCTCAACCCTCATCACGGTAGCCAGTGCAACATGTCTCGGCTTGGAACTGTTGAGAATGCTCGTCCAGGTAACTGTAAATTATTTGGGCTTGTACTTACGTCGCCTCGGAAGCCATCCTTGACTCCTTGCTTTAGCTTAGAGCTCACTCCCTCACCTCGACGCCTCAAAGTTCCCTGACCACCCTCCCTCATCCCTTCCTTCCTGGGCCCCGACTTGGGGCATGGCGTGGGCCCAACAGTTTGGACTTCTTTGCTTATCCCTTTGTTTTGGTTATCCTTTCCTTCGGCTTCAGGGTAAACAAAGAAATCCTCCCCGTGTCTTTAGGACTGTGTTTTGCGAGGGTCTGATTACTGCGAAGGCTTGCAAAAAGGCCTAATTACACGTCATACAACGATTGCCGATTGTTGGATTTGGCCTGGCTACGCCAGCGCCCCTTTCGGGCACCAAAAGAGCAACAAGAAGAAAAACAAAAAAATGGCAGT